ACGGTGAGCGCATCACGCTTTCGCTGCCAAAACTATATTATTTGCGCGTTATCACCTTAATTAACGCAACGCAACACCGCTAGAATCTGAAACGTTTTAGTTGGTTCTGAAAGTTCTCCTATCCTACGTAGTAATTGAGATATGCACCTTACGAATCGCTTCAATTCGCTAGAATTTACATACAGACAGAAACGATGATACTGAGAAATATACGTTACGGAGTTTTTCGTTTTTTTTCCGTGCCTACCATATCTTTTCAACTCGAATTTTGCATAAAGCGTGTCAACACCATTTTGAAATTAGAAACGTCAAACCCGATAGAGATAATAATGTATCCTATGAAATTTTCGGGTAATTATTTTGACCACGTGAATGCCATGATTGTCGATTTATTTAATCAGTATTTTAACTCAAAGCAACACAAGGTATTCACGTAATGACGAATTTGCGGAGTTTTTGTTCATTATTATTTCATACGAAAATAGCACAGACACGATAGGGATATGAAAGCATATAAAGTCAACTTTAGGTTTCATAAATATCAAATCCCGGGGTCAGTAATGATAATATTATTTGCTTGAAATTGGAATCGTATTTTACAAAGTGTGAAATAGACGATCAAGTCCTACGCGAAAGATAAAAGTCAGACAAAATTAGTTTGTGTTGTGCATTCTCTCATTATTAGTTTAACAAAGGCTTTAACACCTGTCGCCGATGTGAATTCACAGTTCTGCCCAAAATATAAAAAAAAACTCCGATGTCCGCCGTTGCATGAGAATTGATACTTGTGAATAAAATGGAACGCGCTTTAATATGGATTAGATACTTTCTGTAGTATGTGTACCAGGTTAGGGCTAGGCTATAATTTAGTGCAGGGGCTGTTTGTGTTAGCCAAGTGAATACCCCCTGCCCATAGGTTTCAGTTCCTTTACACAACTTGATGTAAAATAGGCGGACAAAATTAGTGACCTCCATATTGGTACACGCACTTCTGGAGCGCCAAAGGTAAATGATAACTATATATATCATCAAGTTTACTGTTTTATACTTTCAACGGGCCACATTATTTACTCATAAATAACAATGGATATACAACTACAAGTATTTTTTGAATCACGAATTAGCAAGAATTATGAAAATAATTACCCTTTAAATAAGTAGTAAGACCATAGTGAATATTAGTGCAAGCTTGAATGAAATGATAAACGCTGTGTGGCAGTCTAGGGATTTGTTCAAACAGACTTGTTTCAAAACAATTGTTTTAAATCAAGTTTTTTTTGCCTGTTTTTTGGTCCAAATGGCTGTACTATTTGATTTTTTTGTATGAAATATGTTGAAGAAAAATGGATGTAAAAACTTGCCAAGCGCTTCTTATTTGCAATAAATATTGCCATTACCCTAAAAACCTTGCTCCGACGAAACCACTTTGCGAAAATTGAAATGCGATCGAATAAATGAGTTTGCCTTCATTTTAGGAGAAAAATGCCAATACATGAACTCGAAATCCATAATACGCGTCATTACAGATTTGTTGTGGTGTCTCTGCACCAGAGGCATCTTACAATTAGCAGAGGCTAGGCTAGGGTGTCTCATCTTTTATATCAGTAAATTTCCGCCGATGTAAGCATATTCTTCATTATCGCAACCCACTCGTTTTGCCGAAGGCTGCCTGCCCTTGATCTAATGGCTTTTGTAGTAGGCTCGTTACTCGTGAGCTAAGTTCCATGATTTTTCTTACTCAAAACGTTTCTCTGATATCTCGGATGAACATTTCGATTAAAAGCTTATGGCTTTGGTGGAGATACAAACGTGGCGATAAATGTACGCAATTGAAGTAAAAGTCAAAATAGAATTTTTACTTACTTTTTTAAAATTATAATTCCGGCTGCGTGTGCAGCTGCCAGAATGCAACGTTTTGGCGTAGTTTCCCGGCGATACAAGGGGTATCTCAATGAAAAATTCAGAGAAAAATTGATTTAAAACAAGTCCTTGTTTTAAAACACGATGTTTTTTTAGAATTGATAAAAAACAAAACCCTATGAATGTCCGACGACAAATTATAACCGGGTAACGGAAGTTAGAATTCGAGATTTTGGGGTTAAAAACATTTGAATTACAAATATTTCGTGTTACGAGTAGTTCGTGTTTTACTTTTGTTAATTGGGGTTCCATAAAAAACGAAAAATGATATCAGGGGTTCCGCAATAACAAAAAGGTTGAAGAGCACTGATTTAAAAGCAACGCAAAACTGCGAATTTGAAACGTGTTTAGGATAGGTTATCTCTTTTTGTTGGCTCTGAGATTGTTCCTATTCTAAGCAAGGAGTAATTGGGATATATTTGAGATAATTTGCAAATCGCGATTTGCTAATGCAATCGCTTTAATTCGCTAGAATTTGCACTGGCCCTCACTAACAAACAGAAACGATGAATGTGAGAAATCTTTACGTTGCAATGTTTTTAGTCTTCTATCTGCGTATTCACGCAATGACGAATTTGCGGAGTTTTTAATTTTTTATTGGTATTTAATGCGAAAATACCGCAGACACGGTGGATAGATACAAATATAAAAAAATCAACTATTAACTTCATGAATATCAAATCACCGTATCGGTAATGATAATATTGTCCGCGTAAAATAGAAAGCAAGTTTCTAAGAGTCAAAGTCTTTTGCGTAGTCCAGTGCTTTCTAAACTAATGGTAAAAAGCCATACGTTTGATTCAAAATTGGGTTCGAGTCAACAATTTTAATTAGAAAAGTTTCAAAACAAAATTTCAACTCACAATAATGACATTTTTCAGCGCAATTGGGTGCTGGTGAGCAGCCCGTTGTTTCGCGAAAGAAGACAGAACTGATAAAACCGCTCGTACGCTCGGCAAACGACGTTTCGGTGACGATGATCAGAAATGTCGGCCAATTTCCATTGTCACGCATCTCAGGGATTTAATTTTGCACCAATCGTTACTTCACACAGATGTTCCACGCAGTTGATCGACTTACTTGTCGACAAGTTGTCAGTTGGTTGTTTCATGTTCTCCTTTGGCGGCGCCATTCGAGTTTTAAGATTTTGGCCAAAGGAGGTTCAGCTTTCTGAATTTGCTTTGTCTTCAGCGAATGTCTATTTAAATTAACTATTGGTAGGTTGTTTGTTTACTTGGTCTAGCTTTAATCAAGGATGTTTTTCCCACATCCGTAGACTTTTAATCAGTGATTTACAGCACTAACTGTCGCTTTTATAATATTCACTTGGATTTGGTCATTTCAGAAGATATATTTCACCATTCAACGCAAAACTCATTATTTAACAAAACAAACGAGAGAGCAACCCTCAAACTATGGACACGAACGACGCACATCGGTACTGGTAGGGAGTGTTACAGGCAGAAATTTAATTTTCGTGAATTAACCTATTAGTTTTAGTTATTCTGGTCCGATAATCATGTTTAGACTTGCTCTCGTTTATTTATTTGTTTATTTATATTAAGCGTCACTGGCCGAGAGAAAGTTTGAAGTCTTGGCAATGATGGTGCAATACTGTCTTATATCAGCTGATTTGTATTCATGCCCTTGTTTTTCTTATTGTATTATACTAAATGTCCTATTTATTAGTGTGGGAGACAGTGCAATGAGGCCTGGTCACATGAATTTCTTTGTTAGTAGCTGCGATTACTTTGCGGCATTGAGTTGCAAATTGTAGGGTTTTGATTGTGCTAATTTAGAATTGTTAAGATGTTCAGGGTTATTTAGTAATATAGGTTCTAATTGAGTTGTATGTCAAAGGCTAATTATACTCTTTTATTGTTTTTGTGTCTTGTAGCTAAATTTAAGTACTGTAGTAGGGCTGGAGACACAAATATATTGTAACCACATCATACAATACACACCATACATTTACATACAGACATCAAGTTTTCACATTCACTGTGTTACACTGCCGTTATACTTGCTGTGGAAATTTATCTATCTACTGTGGAACTTTTAACCTGATTGTGGAATTTTACTGGACTGTGACTTGTATATACTGTAAATATACTTTCATTACAAGTTCTTTCATACAAGTTGGATGTGTTTATTTGTGCGTTACTACTGTGTCGAGAGTTAGCTACGGAAGTAGATTGACAAGACAGCCCAATAATCAGAAATAGGACGTGTAGAACCTCTTAACTCAACATTAAGTTACAATATAAGTCTCGACTGTTGTCTCGAAAGTTTAAAGTCAAGTGAAGATGTCAACTGTTTCTGGATCAACTACTAAGTCATGTATGTCTGAAAGAGCAATGGCAGAGAAGAGATTGCGACTTGCAAATTTGAGAAAGCAACAAACCCTGAAACAAGCTGAGCTGAAACGTAAACAACTGGAGGTCGAGAGCAATCTGAAAAGTAAGCAACTGGAAGTTGAGACTGATCGAAAGCGTAAGCAATTTGAACTCGATTCTCAGACTTTAGCAGCTGAAGCAGATGCTGAAGAAGCTCAAATTGAGTATGATATGATGTCAAGTGCTAGCCATTCAAGACAAGGCTCAGTTATTGACAGCTCAACATTTTATAGATTTGAAGCTCAATCTAGTTCTGAGAAAGTTGTGAAGTCAACACCGATTACTGATCATTTAAAGTTATTAAGTCAAGATGATGTGGCTGATACGTCATTTCCGCCTCCTATGAAACCATCAAACGCGTCGGACTTTGATCCAGAGAAAGCAAATAGAATCTTGCGGCATATTTTTACTCCTATGGCAAATGATGACAAAGGATGTATGTTGGATCCGAACGTTCCATTCATATCAAATGAAAATCAAGTTCCATCACCTGCGAAGAATTTGGTGAGTGATATTATGCATGATCATAGATTTGATGCCAGTACAAATCAGCATCTCATTCGCTTGATTCCCCCTGAAGTTGGAAATGTTCAAACTTAAGTGCCGAAAGTTGAACCTGTAAACAGGTCAGCAGCCCATGAAATTAAGATTGAGTCACCGGGTACTATACGAAGCCATACTAAGATGGAATATGGTACGCCGGATCACACTGTTCATGCAATGGTGCAGCTGACGCAAGCTTTACAGGGAGGAATGCTGAATGTAGCAAATATCATTAAGCAAGGTTTGATGTTCCCTCATATTAAGATGACAACATTTAAAGGAGAAATTCTCAAATATACAGAGTTTGTTCGAGAGTTCAATACTTTTATTGGTTCAAGTCAATTGGATGTTGCTCAGAAATTGAATTGTTTGATTTCCAATTGTGAAGGTTCTGCTAAAGAAGCAATATTGTCATGTGGTTCTTTACCTGCAGAAAGAGGTTATGAACTGGCACGAAGTATTTTGCATCGAAATTATGGTCAGAGGCATCTCATAATTGATGCACATGTGCAATTACTTACTGAAGGTCCCTCAATAAAGGCAAATGATGTTAATGCATGGGATGAATTGGTCACCCAGGCACGGAATTGCCTCATTGTATTCAAGGAATATGATGCCAGATGTAGTTTGGATGATTTAACTACATTAAGAAAGATTGTAAAGAGATTTCCAATACAACATTTATGGAAATTTGCTCACATTGCTAATGAGAAGTACACCAATGGAGATATTGTCAATTTTGATACTCTTCTTACATTTATGGAGACAGTTTCAAATGTGAATAGATCTGGATTTGGTAAGCTTGCACTTGAGACACATAAAAGAAAGAAATATGTTGACAGTCCGAGTCAGCGGGGCAACCGCAGTGTGTCATCATTTCTTATTTCTGAAGAGTCCTCTTCTAAAGCACCCACAGCTGATCCTAAGTTGAGTAATGCCACGATGAGAAAACCACTACGAGAGTGCGTTGTGTGCAAATCTGATCATCAGTTGTGGAGGTGTGAAGAATTTAAGAAAAGGAAGGCCAAAGAGATGTTCGAGATTGTTTCCAAGAACAAGTTGTGTTTCAATTGTTTGCTTCCAGATCATTTTGCAAGCCAGTGCAAGTCAAATTATCATTGTAGAGCACCAGGTTGCAATAGAAGACATCACACACTGTTGCATGTTAATAAGAAGCCTGATTCAGTGAAACCAAATGGTAGTACAGATGTGCAATCACCTCAAGATGTGAGGTCTAATGAGGCCGGAGCTACGACCGCCAATGAGGCCGGTGTAACTTCGACTCAGTTGTGTGCTACTGAAGTTAAACCTGCCACCTTTAGAAGAAGAAAGGTGGTTCCTGTGCGAGTATGGGGAACCGATAATCAATCATATGACACATATGGATTCATTGATGATGGCAGTAATGTTAGCATTATCAAAACTGAGCTTATGAAGAAACTTGGTTTACAAGGCAACAGTGATCCACTCGTAATTAAGACGTTGGGTGGAAAAATAGAACATAAATCAAGTCCTGAAGTGTCACTGAATATTCAAGAACTCAATGAAACTAGGATTATTCAGATGCATGGAGTTCGAGTGTTGGACGATCTTCCCTCGGATTTGGAATGCAACATACCGTCAAATAGTGCGATGGCGAAATACGAACACTTGAAAGATATCAATTTTCCAAATGCAAAGAATGCAAAAGTTGAAGTCCTGATTGGTGTAGATGTGCCTGAAGCTCATGCGTGTCATGGAATGCGACGTGGGAGTAATTCAGAGCCATTTGATGTGCATACTGGTCTTGGATGGGCATTATTCGGGCCAGATGGTAAATTTCATCAACCAAGTGTAAAACATCTAGATTGGATTCATTTGGATAATGAAGAATTGCATGTTCAGATGGAGCAAGCTTTTCGGAATGAATTAAAGGATTCTAATGTCAGTGGATTTGACACTTTACCATCTATTGAAGACAAACAGGCTTTAAAGATCATGAATGATTCAATTTGTAAAGTGAATGGAAGATATCAAGTCAAGATTCCATGGAGGTCATCTGATATCGAGTTGCCTGATAATAAGCAAGTTGCTGAAAGAAGATTTGAGAATTTACAGAGACGTTGTGTCAAAGATTCTGGATATTATGAAAAATATAAAGCCAAGATGGATGAATACATCTCTAAATAAAGGATATGCTAGTAAAATTGAAGACCAAGATTTGATACACAAGAAAAATACATGGTATATTCCTCACCGTGGGGTTGGAGGAAAATTTCGAATTGTTTTTGACGCGTCTGCCAAGTGTAACGATATATCATTGAATGACAATGTTTTAAGCGGACCACCGGAAACAAGCAGTTTGTTTGGTGTCCTTACAAGATGTCGCGAAGAGAAAATTCTGATCATTGGTGATATTTCTGCAATGTATCATCAAGTTTTGGTTGCACCGGAAGACAGAGATTCTCTGCGGTTCCTTTGGTGGCAAGATGGAGATTACAATCAACCAGTTGCAGATTATCGTTGGAATGTTCACATTTTTGGTGGCTCTTGGGCTCCTAGTGTATGCTGTTATGCCCTGAGGAGAGTTGCTGTTGACAATCGAAATCACATGGACTAGGAAACTTTAAGTGCAATTAATGAAAATTTTTACGTCGATGATTTGCTTCGGTCAGAGCCAACCGTGGAAGATGCAGTTCATCGTATAAAGGATTTGTCCTCTCTTCTTGATGATTCGGGATTTCATCTTACTAAGTTTTTGAGTTCTCAACCTGAAGTTTTGGAAACTATCTCTGAAGCAGATAGATCACCTACTACAATAAGTTTTAATTTTGAAGAAAATATGTCACAGGAGGCATTGGGTTTACTGTGGGATGTATCTACTGATGCATTTCGTTTCGAAGTTAATATTGAGCAAAAACCATATACAAGACGTGGATTGTTAGCGATGCAAGCACAGATTTTCGATCCTCTTGGTATTTTGGGTCCCTTTCTATTACCTATGAAGAGATTACTGCAACAATTATGTGCAGAGAATTTTACCAGGGATCAACAGTTACCTGATAAAGCTATTGATTTATGGAAAAAGTGGATGGTTCAACTTCCTGAATTTAGAAGAATTTCTGTGCCAAGATGGTTCAAAGGCTCCAAATATGGTGATTGTACAATGCAGTTGCATACTTTTTGTGACGCCTCTGAAGTTGGTCTGGGAGTTGTGAGTTATGTTCGAGTTGAAAGCAAGGATGGCAATATACATTGTGAGTTTATTGCTGGGAAATCGCGAGTTGCACCACTGAAATCAATTTCAATTCCTAGACTTGAGTTGCCTGCTGCTGTCATTGCTGTGAAACTAAGTGAAATAATTCAGAAAGAGTCAAAATATAAATTTGATGAAGTCACATTTTGGTCTGATAGTACATCAGTGCTGCAATACATCAATAATGTCAAAACAAGATTTAAAGTATTTGTAGGAAATAGACTTTCTGTAATACATGAGCATTCTACACCAAAGCAATGGAGATATGTTGGCACTAAAGAAAATCCAGCGGACTTGGCATCAAGAGGAGTCATGCCTGGGAAGTTAAGCAAGTGTGATTTGTGGTTCCAGGGTCCTGAATTTTTGAGAAAGAGTGAAGATTATTGGCCAGAAAGACCAAAAGTTCTGCCAATGAGTGAAGATAATTGTGAAATCAAGAAAACACACCAGATGTTTGCTATAACACAGGAAACGATTGAGAAAACACCAGTCTTTTTCACGTTATTGAAGAGATATTCATCTTGGAGAAAATTACAGAAGTCAGTTGCATGGTTGGCACGTTTCAAGAAATGTATATTATTGAAATTTGGTCATGCTGATAAACCTGAATTTTGTAAAGAAGGTTTAACTGTGGATGAAATAAATGCTGCGACTCATGACATATTACATCTTGTGCAGATGGAAATGTTTTCAGAAGATGTGTTCAAGTTAGACAAGAATTCACCATTGCGAGCTCTAACACCTTGTTTGATTGATGGCTTAAAATGTGTTGGAGGTAGACTACAGCGATCTACTTCACCTGATGAAAGCAAGCATCAAGTCATCTTGCTATACAATCATCATGTGACTGATCTCATTATCAATCATTATCATTTACTGGAGGGACACAGTGGAACACTGCATGTCTTATCTGTTATTAGACAGCGGTTCTGGATCATCAAAGGTCATTCAGCGGTCAAACGTGTTCTTCGTCAATGTTTGAAATGCAAGAAGAGGCGAGCTAAACCAGGTTCGCAAATCATGGCACCACTGCCTGAATTGAGAGTTAAACCAGGAAACCCACCATTTAGTGTGACCGGTGTGGATCTTATGGGATATTTTCTCATCAAATCTGGTCGAAGTGATGTAAAGCGATGGGCTGTGATATTTTCATGCATGGCAAGTCGAGCAATTCATATTGAGGTCGTGAACAGTTTTAATACCTCTGACTTTATCAACGCACTGGAAAGATTTGTAGCAAGAAGAGGTCCTGTATTGGAGTTGATTTCTGACAACGGGTCAAATTTTACTTCTGCGAATAACGAGTTAAAGGAAGGACTGAAACGTTGGAATCAGTCTGTGCATGAAACCATTAGTCAAAAGGGAATCAAGTGGAAATTTAACCCTCCTGCTGCGAGTCACTGGGGTGGGTGTTGGGAGAGAATGATTCGGTCAGTGAGAAAAATTCTGACTGCACTTGCAGGGGGCCGACAACTGGATGATGCTATGTTTTACACATTTCTCACTAAAGTGGAAAGAATTCTGAACAATCGACCGATTACACCTGTTGGAGACGATTGCAAAGATCTTTGTGCATTAACACCAGCTATGCTATTAACTGGTCGCATCGATCCTGATTATCCATCGGATGTTTTTGTTAAAGCAGATGGATATCGAAAGTCTTGGAAATTGGTGCAGTTACTGGCAAATCATTTTTGGTCAAGGTGGACAAAAGAATATCTGCAAATTCTTCAATCAAAGCAAAAGTGGCATCAACCAGCAAAGAACTTTTCTGTTGGAGACTTGGTTCTGGTAGTTTATGAAGATACACCGAGAGGTTCGTGGCCAATGGAAATCATCGTGGAAACGTATCCAGATCAATTTGGTATGGTTCGACGTGTTCAAGTCAGGACTGCAAAGTCTTCATATGTTCGTGATATTCGCAAATTGTGTCATCTTGAAGCTGTGTAATAATTGAAATTGCTAGTTAACACTTCATGTTTTATTATATTGAAGTTGAAATTTCCTGTTGCCTGTAATTTGAATTATTTATAATCAACTCTGTTTTCCCAGAGTTACTTAGAAGCCGGAATGTTACAGGCAGAAATTTAATTTTCGTGAATTAACCTATTAGTTTTAGTTATTCTGGTCCGATAATCATGTTTAGACTTGCTCTCGTTTATTTATTTGTTTATTTATATTAAGCGTCACTGGCCGAGAGAAAGTTTGAAGTCTTGGCAATGATGGTGCAATACTGTCTTATATCAGCTGATTTGTATTCATGCCCTTGTTTTTCTTATTGTATTATACTAAATGTCCTATTTATTAGTGTGGGAGACAGTGCAATGAGGCCTGGTCACATGAATTTCTTTGTTAGTAGCTGCGATTACTTTGCGGCATTGAGTTGCAAATTGTAGGGTTTTGATTGTGCTAATTTAGAATTGTTAAGATGTTCAGGGTTATTTAGTAATATAGGTTCTAATTGAGTTGTATGTCGAAGGCTAATTATACTCTTTTATTGTTTTTGTGTCTTGTAGCTAAATTTAAGTACTGTTGTTGCGCTGGAGACACAAATATATTGTAACCACATCATACAATACACACCATACATTTACATACAGACATCAAGTTTTCACATTCACTGTGTTATACTGCCGTTATACTTGCTGTGGAAATTTATCTATCTACTGTGGAACTTTTAACCTGATTGTGGAATTTTACTGGACTGTGACTTGTATATACTGTAAATATACTTTCATTACAAGTTCTTTCATACAAGTTGGATGTGTTTATGTGTGCGTTACTACTGTGTCGAGAGTTAGCTACGGAAGTAGATTGACAAGACAGCCCAATAATCAGAAATAGGACCTATAGAACCTCTTAACTCTACCGGGAGGGCAAGGTGATAGTACTTAGGAAAAAAATGCAGGTATAACTGTTGAAAATCATCGAAAAAATTAGTTATCTAAGTTGGTGCGCCTAACTATCAACTTCGGGATCGCGAAGTTAACAAAATAGCGATTCGTGGGAAACTATGAAAGCGCCATACGATCAACATCAAGCAACACTCCTTGTGGTTCTCAGGCAATAGATTCAGATTCAGATATTTATTTCCGTCATGCATGAAATATTACATTATTAAAACAAAGAACACAAAAATAATTCAATTGAAAAAAAAATAACACAATATTTCGATTGCAATGGACCTTTCCCCGACATCAAAACATCCGTATTCTCAACCAATCACAAGCGAGCAGATGTAAACAAACATTCTCCGCTGAAAAGTCGCTCAGACAACTTTGGACGCGTTCCGCACAAGTTGCTGGCGGTTTAGGCAGATCTTTGTCCTTTTTTTTTCGCTTTTTGTTTCTTCACAGGGCTGCGATAATTAGAAATCTGTAATACTGTATGTTACTTGTTGCAAATCACGTTTACGAAATCTGTATATTTATACTAAAAGGCTGTACCCGTTGCATGCACCTTACAGGTGCGGTACCGTACAGGTCAACCAAATGCTATTTCGAACCAAAAAATAGTAGACAGTCATGCTGATGCAATCAAGAGTACCGGAAGCCTACCGTACGTCAGTACGGAAGAATTCACTTTCAATACGATGTTGCATTTTTATTAAACAGAATACCGTATATTAGTGAATTATTTTGGTAGACTAACTAGGCTATGTGTAAATGCTGCGCATATGGTATTTGCCAGTCTGACAACCTGTACGGTACCCCTGCCGTTCAAATGGAGTAAGATTTGTGCCTTTTCCGAAGCCACATATTGACCGCCAAAAGCAATGAGGTGGATAAAGGAATGCAACAGGCCTCACAGTCAATTCAACCTAGGAAAAATTACCTATGATATATATTCAATATGTTGATTCTTATATGAAATGAATTTTCATACAAGCAATGCGTTCCATCATGCATTTTCATGGAGTCGATGAACCAACTGATGAATACCCTGACCCTATATCAGATTCTTGTCACCCAGCAAAAGAGCACCATTAAATTGTGAGGTATGGATTACTTATACCATAATTTAACTTTGGATCATAATTTAACAGGATCTATCACCAGATACTTCATTTGATACAGAGACATGGGAATCTGACGAAAGTGAGAAAGGATTGTCAAGGATCTAACCAGATCTGCCCCCAGACTCTTTAGTTGAAACTACCTCAAATGCCGCTGATGAAAATGACAGCGCTTTGTCAAGACAGCAGAAAAATGTAAGCAAGCATCTTCATCATTTTATTTTGGTTCTCTGGCATAAAACAACACAAAAAGCCAACATACAAATAAAATGCAGAGAAAATTGGAAGTCGAGCATAACTTAAAATAGATTTCAAAAAGTACGTGGCTACCCACCAGGAAAAGAAATAATAAAAGGGCACAAAAGAATTAACAAGATTCAGAATCGGGCAACACTTTTAACGTAATTCAAAATGAGAAAACACATACTTCTTCCAGCATTGGTGTCATATTTGCTAACTGTAAAAATGATGAATAAAGAAGGAAAATTAATATTGAAGACTTGGGACTTCATGCAGAATCTTTTACAATCCATTGGTGATAAAATGGTGTTACTTTATGGAGAATGCTCCGCATGCATGCCATGTCCGGTGTGACCCTGGTGATCGTAATATCATTTTTTGTGCGAACTGCAAAGTCACACCAAGCTGCACCTGATACCAGAAGTTGGCCTTGCACTTTGTAGTAACTGTGGTGTGTGATATATACTTATACTGCATTTATTACTGTCATATAAATTGCAACTTGTTCATAATCATCTGATAACTTTAGAACCGAACCAGGTAGTGAGTGTTTGCCCATCTGACTATATAACAAAGAGGTAACGTTAGTGCTCAGCGAGCGCAATTCTTCCATATTATCAGGAGATGAAACCAGACAGCTTTAAGGAAATAACTCAGCAGTAAAATCATTGTGATACATTATGTCTGTCAATGGAATTGTAAAATGAATTTAATTCTATTATTTTGACGTTCCATTGTTGTGCCTAAGAGCATATATCTGGTGTGTATTTTTATCCTATACAACACAGTATCTGGAAAACTGTATAATTTGTAGTAATTTTCTTGGATTTACTTGCTTGTTCCTTCATCATATGTTTTTTATGATCTGTTATATTCTATTTCTACACTGAATGAATAAACTATATTGTAAAACCTATCTTTCAATAGTATATTTGCACCCATCAGGCTGAGCTAATAAATCTGTGTTTCTATGATAGGACATAAACTTAAGTGCCTTCACTGTGCCTAGCCCTAGCATGTACAAATTGCATCAGAGACTCCTGAACTTATCTATAGCACTTGGCTTTGAACTCCAGCGTTGAACTAAGATTGACGATTGAACGAACCATCATGAATGTATCTGAAAAAAATATTCATCTGTTCATAATTACAGATTTCTGTAGTTTGTGCAATGTTTCTAGAAAATTTAAAAGACTTTCGAAACTGCCCCTGAATTTCATTTGTTTCTATAGTAAACCCACAAATTCAGTCCTACCTTGGACGCTAACTATTAGTCTATGAACCATAGGATACGGTACCGGTAGTCACGCAGGTCTCTCAGTCTTCTGACATTCTTCACCATATAAGTTTAAATATCACCTTTCAATGAAAAGTTTTGTATCCTTCTCCAGCTGATGGAAAGAAAAGTCCTTGGAGAATCAAGTCCATAGAAAAGTCATCTCTGAGTGATTCCATTTTTGTATGTGAAATAGGCTTTTGGAACTAAGTCAGGTACGGTAACGGCAATGTGAAGGCGGGATAACGTTAATATTAGATCATTTGACAATATGTTATAACTTCAGAAGCACGAAAATACCACCATCATCAGTGAAATGCCATTCGAATGCCTTTAAAACGAGCAACGTACCACTCTATCGCCCTACGTAAGCCTGAATATTTGCAATGTTTGTCTGAGCAATGACATTAAACAACATGATAGGCAACTCTGACGTCACTCCATAAGACTACATACGAAAGATTGTATTTCATGATACGCTCCAATGCACATATTTCTCGTCGTCTTTCGCGACCGTTTTCCGCTCGCTTTTGCTACTCGGCGCCTTCTTTACGTGTGGTGCCTGCCGTTTTGCGCCTGTAACGAAAGAAAATAATCTCTATATCCAAGAAGTTTTGCTCACTTGGAAAGCTGAAATGGCAGACAAGCTGTAAAGAGTAATTCTGGACAGTATAGACGTTTTTTTTTATCAGAGAAGATTGCAAACGCGATAGCGTAAAGATTTATGTGGGACATTTTGCAGATAATGACAAAGTTCAAAGTTAGTAATTTTAATGTTTGGCTTAAACAGTGAAATTTCATTTAAAGAGGGTGTCATACAAAACAGCAAAACTGTTTTTACTTCTCTTAACGGTGCTGTGATACAATAACGGTGCTGTGATACAATTCCATAACACAATGTTTGCACCTATCGAACTTGCTTTAGTAGGTGAATTTATTAGACATATTTAGTTAATCGTAGGTAACATTGCTGGTACATAATGCCTCGTAGATAGGTTTGTGTCTAAATTTAGGAATTTAGCTCATAGCCCACTAATTAATGTTATCTTATACGCAGGAGGTTGCAGGGCAGATTTAATTTGTAGCCTTACCGATCACCTGACGATGCTCATTTAGTTTGGCTCACACAAATCTTCTTGAAAGACTTGTGTGAATGGAAACTACCTATATGTTTTGCCTTCCTCCGATTTAGAAGACAAATTTATTCTGAGGGATTCGCATATAATTCCCTTGATTGTTGGCTGTTTATAATTCCTATTAATTGTGAATTCTGATTATAACAAAGAGTTAAAAAAATTTTTACGTAATTTACTGGCACCTTTTTCTTGTCAAGACTCCAAGCTGAGGTAATAAACAAGACAATACATTTATGCCAATATATTCCGAGTGGCTGAATTAGTTTACCTTTATGATAGCAACGATTTTGTATTTAATACAGCAAGATTTTTTCAATTTAATTGAAGTGATATTATTTCCCAAAGCAATGCTTGAATCGTCCAGAATAGATCAGTGGTGTCAAACTCATGGGTTTTCGAGAGCCGCATTGCATGTTGGAAATTGTAAAAAGGGCCGCAAACAGTTTTTGATAATGTATACTTGAAAGATATTTTCAAGATAGTTTTAGTTTGTGACATAAATTGGGATGCAACTAAACAGTGGGATTAAGTTTTATTATTTTCTTTAATTTCAAATGCAATTACATATTATTATTTGCATTCCACTATTATTGCAAGTTACTGTATTTATTACAAAAAATCATAAAATTCTATGTACAACCATCGAAATCATTTCTGAACAAGCCCTGGATAAGGAAAGAATAATACATACACTAAAAAAATGACTTAATCTAAATATATGGACCTAAAATTAACAAAAATACTACAGTATAAACTCAATGTTTTTTTATTTACATTTGTCCTGACGTTTGGCATCTTTATTGTGTCACCAGCATACTAAGGCCAGGCTGAAATGATTTTATAGTACCAACTCTAACTAACGCGGTTACATGATCATGGGTTAATCTGGATCTTTGCGAATGTTTAATTAATTCCAGTAATGCAAAAAAGTTACTTTTATCATTCCATGTATAGATCAGTAAAAAAACAAATGACAGATTTTTCGACAAGACATTTCGCGCTACATTGCATGGCATAGGATTGCTTGAATTATTATCGATATTGATTTTTAGTAACTATGTCGTTGTATAATTATATTGATATACAAACACATGGAAATTTTCTGTTCGAAGTTGGTCTTCGAATTTGTCATATTGACTGCTGAGCTTATTGTGTTTTTTTTATTGTACAGTACTGATGGAAATATGACAATTTAAACAATGTGCTTCAGAAAATTTTGTGAAATACAGAAATATTGCAACTCCCATTTTCTTCGAAAATGCCACCTTCTTCATGTACTTTGCGTTTAATTTAATCACTCAAGTGTTTTATTCAAGTATTCTTTTGCTAGCTTGATGTGTATTCTTAAATGGGTCAAAATGTGAACAAAAAAAATTTAATTTTTCAAAACTACTTTCAGTAAATTGTTTTCTGTGTGAATATTCAATTCTACTTTAAAAAGTTTGACAAATCTGTTACATTTAGATAAAAAAAAACTTCCAAAATACTATTACAATTATTGTTATGCGTTCGAGGGCCGCACTAGAAGTTCTCTGGGGCCGCGAGTTTGACATCCCTGGTCTAGATTGAAGTTGTCCAAAATATATAACAGTATTTTATCATGAATCATGATTATACCCTTTCCTGAATTTCTTCTATAGTACTACCAAAAGTTGATGAACCAAATATAACGCAAGTGAGTGACCCGTAATCCTCATTTATCAAAGCTGTTTCAAGTATGTCTGGCATGTTTAGTGCTTTTTCACAAATAAGACCGCTTATGCAATCTTACGCATTGGAATTTTTAGTTATTTTCCTCAAGCCTTGCAGGATGTAGGGGCCATACACAACTCTACCGGAGGGTCAAATGCCATTGCATGCCTGCATAGGTTGTTCTTCTATTGCACACATTTATGGAGTATTCTAAATATATTTCTTGGAATCACACTGTCACTGATATGTTGCCAGACTTCTGATATCTCCCCTTCTGCTACAGTTGTCCTGTGAATAAATAATAGGAAATTGAGATTAGACGAATAGTTGAAAGTTTTGCTTTATGTCGGCTTAATTTTTTGATTGATATACTTACTATTCTTGCAATTGCCTCTTGTGCTGCAGGAGTCTCACAATGCTTAGACATGTTTGTCCACAACTTTCACATCTGAAGAAAGAGAGGAGATTTATGAAATTTCGTTAAGAATAAATAACGCAGTCTATATGATTTAGAATGGAAAAGATAATAAATCCAATATCTCATGTTTAATGTAAAAATGTTTTACTGAATTTGGTATATAAATCAACTAATAAAAGGGTTTTGTCAGAAAATTACAAGCATTCGTGGCTCCAAATACTTGAGAGATCAGACTATACAATATAAACCGGTATGAGTGAAATGTTAGGTGAACTTGTTAACCCTTTGATTCAATACGCAAATAAAAGTGAATGAGCAATAGTATGCTACAGCAATGAGTATATATTTCTACACTGATTAGAAAAATCTAAATGGAGGTGCATAAACTATTTGAAACCATAAGGGGTAAGTAAATATGCAATTTCGGCAAATGGGCAACTACGTACAGTATTGATTTGATAACTTCGTAGTATTTGACAAAAGCTGGCTTCCCCACATGTACTTAACAGTGCTATGCCCGGGTGTGATATACAACAATAGTATTTACCTTACCTTTTTCCGATTTCTTTTTACCTTCAATTTTCTAAAATATCATTAAAATCGACAACAACTGTCAAAGCAGGCACGAACACCATTTGTGCCACTGCTATGCCTTGAAAGCAGCACACATCCGCTCGTTTTCGTTTCGTCAAGTATGTGCATTGGAGCGTGCTATCGGATACGATCTTCGGCCAAAAATGCCGGAGTTGCGCATCATGTTGTTTAATGTCATTGGTCTGAGCGACCAAAATCAAAACAATAAAGGTCAAAGGTCGGGGAAAGGTCCATTGACGAGGAGCCGCGAATAAACTATAAAGTCGTCGTGTCAGCGACACCAAAATTGCCGTGGTCAGCAGCAGATGACGTCAAATAACTAGTATTTAGAATACATTTGGAAAATGTGGATCGAAGATAAAACGTCACTTAGGAGAGAATTGTTTAAAAGGAAAATAAGTTAAAACGAGAGAGTCAGTCGGAAAAGGAGTTTGTACCGTCAATTTATTTTCGTAGCGTCATGCTCGGGTGAACACAGTATCAACGACGCTGCGTTGCTGAGATAAATAAAAGGGGAATTCCCAGGAATGTCACTATACGAATATGAAAATTAGTTTTGAAGTTAAGGCTACATAAATGAAATGAGATCAGGGCAGTAGAATTAAATATATGAAAGATTACGCAATAATGAATCGTAAAGAAGAAATTTAGGACATCAAAGCTTGTGTAATAAAGGTGAAAATATTCAACAACAATGAAAAGGAATGATATGCAGCAATAAAAGCATCACATTTGCAAAACTGGCATCAAGAACCCTATCAGAAATGACCAACCTGGGGACTGGCAAATTACTGAATGTTATAAGCATTGAGGTACAGTTTTTTTAACTCTATTTTGAATGTATTATAGGTCTTGGAGCGGATAGTAACTGGGAGCATATTCCAAAGTTTTATGCCCATGTACTTTATGGAATTTTGTGTACGACTGGATGAATAGCGGGTCATAAAATAAGAGCTATTGGTGGAGGAACGTGTTGCATAAGAGTGGATAACGCTTTGCTTAACGAAATAGCTAACGAACGCAGCAGGCAATTTATTATTATGGTGTTGGTGCATGATTTTAAGCACTTCAATTTTATAGATGTCAGTAATTTTAAGAATCTGCATCTTATAATAGTAGGAGTCTAGATTTGACAAGAGTCCGGCATTAGTAATGGTTCGAATCGCCCTATTTTGCATAACTTCAATGCGACGTAATAACATTTTTCTTGCTGAATCCCAGGCCGCGATGCCATATTGGATATGAGACTGGAACAGAGCATAATATACCATACGCAGAGTTGACATTGATGTGTATGGACGAAGCCTGTACAACATCCCTGCCGACTTAGATAATTTAACGGCAATGCTATTTATTTGAATATCCCAGTTCAATTTATTATCGATATGACTGCCAAGATATTTATAAGATTCCACGTTTTCAAGAATAGTCCCCCCGATTTGAATTTTAAGACCATCATTATGTTTGGATTTGTTAGGGGTTATCAGCATAGTCTTGGATTTGTCCACATTTAGAGTTAGTTTGTTAAGTTCCATCCATTTTACAACTTTATTTATTTCAGTATTTACTCTGGACTCAAGCACATTATGAGACTTATCACTATCGAGGAGGTTTGTGTCGTCGGCGAACAATTTTGATAATAGTGTGGAACTGCGTGAGAGATCATTGATATAGATCAGAAACAGAGTCGGCCCCAAGCACGAACCCTGGGGGACCCCGTGGGTGACAGGTAAGACAGTGGAACAGTATGAACCGATTTCTACATATTGAGTTCTATTTGTCAAGTAGCTAGTAAGAAGGTGATTGGCGTTCCCCCTTATACCGTAATGCCACAGCTTGTAGATCAAGATTTTGTGGTTGACGGTATCAAAAGCTTTTTTCAGGTCGAGAAAAGTAGCACTGACATAGGCTTTCCTCTCCAATTCATCATATATATGAGATATTGTATCTAGGATCGCGTGTGACGTGGAGTGGTTGCTTTGAAAACCGAACTGTGATTTATTTAGTATGTCATGTTTTGTAAAAAAGTTCATAAGTCTTCTATGAATTAGACGTTCAAATACCTTATCAATAGCAGATAGAATGGATATAGGTCTGTAATTTGAAATATTTTTTTTGTTACCAGATTTAAAGATTGGAATTACCCTGGCGATTTTCAGTGAGGATGGATATATTCCTATTCGAAGTGAATTATTGAAGAACTCTGTTAGACAAGGTGCTATGATGTCTGCTACATACTTGAGGAAACGACTGGGAATATTGTCAGCGCCAACCGCTTTCCTCTCATTCAGACTTACTATTTCCGTGATCAATTCATTCACTGTTGCTGGACTTAGGAATATTGATTGATTTACACGTCTGCCAAGAAATGATTTAAAGCCATTCATATCGTTGGAAAATTTAGTACAGAGGCTGGAGCCAACAGTGGGGAAGTATTTATTGAATTCCTGAGCAATCAAGAGACTATCTTTAATGGTCCTGCCATAGTCTAGTTGAATTTCATTGACACTTTCATCTTTTTTACTTTTTGTAGATGTAATTTCATTGACAATACGCCAAGAACACTTAGGGTTGAATTTTTTTCTCACAATCAGTTTTTGGTAATACATTTGTTTAGCATTATCTAGGGCGCGTGTTAGTGAGTTGCGATATCTTTTGTAGTATGAGCATTGAGTACTATTGCCCTTTAAATAGTGAGATTTGAACATCTTATGTCTTAGTCGAATGTTATCACGTAATTCTTTGGTTATCCAAGGTTTTCGTTTTATCTTTTTTTGTCGCCGTGACAGTGGTCTCAATGGAGCATGACGATCGATTATGCGAGCAATAGAATTTGTAAATTCTACAAATAGTCTATCAAAATTATTGCAATTAAGGTCTAACGTTACAAAGCGTTCATTAACTATGTCCTGTATATCAAACCGAAATACATCAATACAGAATGAGGACATATTCCTTGAAATTATGACTTCTTTTTTGGTGGTTGGTTTTATGCCTTTAAGACAGCACATGATGGGGAAATGATCAGTGATGTCTGATGAGATTACATACGAGTTGATTTTCACATCAGTCAAGTTTGTATACATGTGATCTATTAGAGTGGAAGAAGTACGTGTAATTCTAGTAGGCTTAGTAATGAGGGAAATGGCGTTAAAAGAAGTAAGCATATCGGAATAACGAGAAATTTGGGTGTTACTAGATGTTGCGAGTAAATTGATATTAAGATCTCCCACAATTATAAAATGCTTTTTAGATAATTTTGAGATGCAGTTTTCAACAGTGCTTGCGAATGTAGGAATATCATTTCTCGGATGTTTGTAAATAATGCCAATGCTCAAATTATTGACCATGTTTGTTAAACTAATATCAAACCACAAGTCTTCACAATTGGGATAATTTAGTTGATAGTCAGTAACTTCAGTAAAATTGATGTCATTTCTGATATAGGCATCCACGCCTTCTGCTTTTGAAGCAGAAGAGGCATGAATGAATCTGTACCCATCAATGCTTATGCTAGAGGAAAGAGTATTTAGTTTTGTTTCACTTATTGCTATTATATGGGGAGGAATAGTGAAATTGGATAATAGCTCAGTTAATAGGTCAATATTTTTTTGAATTGATCGAATGTTGAGGTGAATGATTGTTAGGTCAAAATCAACTCTAATATCAGTCAAATTTGATACTTCTATGTTCTCACATGGGCAATTAAAAAAATTAGTCATTTACATTGGTGGGAATATAAGAAGTGGACATATATACAGTTAATAACAGTAAGAATTATTAACTAGTCATGAATATTATAGAATGACCTACTTTATTAAAAGAAGATCATCTTCTGTAATTATGGGGATGGTAGTAGTATCCAGGTTCTTTTTAATGAGACCTCTTCCATTATTTGTCCATAGAAACCTATATCCACAAGCTTTCTTTAAGTCTCTGGCCTTGAAAAATAAGTCCTTGTTGGTATCCGTCAGATTTTCGATGACAAATACCTTTGATGCCCTGGGAATTTTTGAAAAAACAGAAGAAACATCGAGTGATTTGAGTTTGCTCTGGTTCGTTAGTATTCGATCTCTCGTTTTTCTATTGATAAATTTGGCAATTATTGGTGAAGGTTTCTTCTTCTTATTTTTTGATAGTCCGTGGCAGTTTGAGATGTCGAATGATTGTAAAGGAACATCAATTTTCAAGCACAATTTGGTTACCAGATTTTCACAGTTTTCACCAGTTGTATACGGAATATTGTGAAACTCTAGATTATCAAGTCTGGAACGACGTTCTTGGTCTTGTTGGCGTTCCGTTAAGATGTCGATTTCTTCCTCTAATTCTTCCACTAGATTTTCTAACTCAGACACTCTTTTTTTGTTTTCATTGCTATTTTGTTGAGCTCAGTTTGGTTGGTGCAGAGCTCATCAAACTTTTTTGACATAAAGTCCTGACTCTCCTTTATTTCGTGGATCTCGTTTGTTATTTGACTAAAAGATGTTATTTCTGTTTAGATTTAATCAATCGAGTACTTTAAAGATGTTAACGATTCTTCTAAGTAAGCACTGTTGGTGATAGGTTGAGTCGTGTCAAAAGTAGATCTTTCAAGATGTTTTTCGAGATGATGTTCTATGATGGCAGGTATCTCTAGGCGTAAAGTCTTGAGAATCGTACTTTCAAGCACTGACATCAGATTTGATACATCGGCACCACTCGCTAAGCAAATGGCGGCCCCATTTAAAACTGTTCTATAAAGGCGTTCTATGCATTTTGTTTAGAACAAACCACAATATAGTTTGACGGTGAGCGCATCACGCTTTCGCTGCCAAAACTATATTATTTGCGCGTTGTCACCTTAATTAACGCAACGCAACACCACTAGAATCTGAAACGTTTTAGTTGGTTCTGAAAGTTCTCCTATCCTACGTAGTGATTGAGATATGCACCTTACGAATCGCTTCAATTCGCTAGAATTTACATACAGACAGAAACGATGATACTGAGAAATCTACGTTACGGAGTTTTTCGTTTTTTTTCCGTGCCTACCATATCTTTTCAACTCGAATTTTGCATAAAGCGTGTCAACACCATTTTGAAATTAGAAACGTCAAACCCGATAGAGATAATAATGTATCCTATGAAATTTTCGGGTAATTATTTTGACCACGTGAATGCCATGATTGTCGATTTATTTAATCAGTATTTTAACTCAAAGCAACACTGAGCATTCACGTAATGACGAATTTGCGGAGTTTTTGTTCATTATTATTTCATACTAAAATAGCACAGACATGATAGGGATATGAAAGCATATAAAGTCAACTTTAGGTTTCATAAATATCAAATCCCTGGGTCAGTAATGATAATATTATTTGCTTGAAATTGGAATCGTATTTTACAAAGTGTGAAATAGACGATCAAGTCCTACGCGAAAGATAAAAGTCAGACAAAATTAGTTTGTGTTGTGCATTCTCTCATTATTAGTTTAACAAAGGCTTTAACACCTGTCGCCGATGTGAATTCACAGTTCTGCCCAAAATATAAAAAAAAAACTCCGATGTCCGCCGTTGCATGAGAATTGATACTTGTGAATAAAATGGAACGCGCTTTAATATGGATTAGATACTTTCTGTAGTATGTGTACCAGGTTAGGGCTAGGCCATAATTTAGTGCGGAGGCTGTTTGTGTTAGCCAAGTGAATACCCCCAAACCATAGGTTTCAGTTCCTTTACAGAACTTGATGTAAAATAGGCGGACAAAATTAGTGACCTCCATATTGGTACACGCACTTCTGGAGCGCCAAAGGTGAATGATAACTATATATATATATCATCAAGTTTACTGTTTTATACTTTCAACGGGCCACATTTACTCATAAATAACAATGGATATACAACTACAAGTATTTTTTGAATCACGAATTAGCAAGAATTATGAAAATAATTAACCTTCAAATAAGTAGTAAGACCATAGTGAATATTAGTGCAAGCTTGAATGAAATGATGAACGCTGTGTGGCAGTCTAAGGATTTGTTCAAACAGACTTGTTTTAAAACAATTGTTTTAAATCAAGTTTTTTTTGCCTGTTTTTTGGTCCAAATGGCTGTACTATTTGATTTTTTTGTATGAAATATGTTGAAGAAAAATGGATGTAAAAACTTGCCAAGCGCTTCTTATTTGCAATAAATATTGCCATTACCCTAAAAACCTTGCTCCGACGAAACCACTTTGCGAAAATTGAAATGCGATCGAATAAATGAGTTTGCCTTCATTTTAGGAGAAAAATGCCAATACATGAACTCGAAATCCATAATACGCGTCATAACAGATTTGTTGTGGTGTCTCTGCACCAGAGGCATCTTACAATTAGCAGAGGCTAGGCTAGGGTGTCTCATCTTTTATATCAGTAAATTTCCGCCGATGTAAGCATATTCTTCATTATCGCAACCCACTCGTTTTGCCGAAGGCTGCCTGCCCTTGATCTAATGGCATTTATAGTAGGCTCGTTACTCGTGAGCTAAGTTCCATAATTTTTCTTACTCAAAACGTTTCTCTGATATCTCGGATGAACATTTCGATTAAAAGCTTATGGCTTTGGTGGAGATACAAACGTGGCGATAAATGTGCGCAATTGAAGTAAAAGTCAAAATAGAATTTTTACTTACTTTTTTAAAATTATAATTCCGGCTGCGTGTGCAGCTGCCAGAATGCAACGTTTTGGCGTAGTTTCCCGGCGATACAAGGGGTATCTCAATGAAAAATTCAGAGAAAAATTGATTTAAAACAAGTCCTTGTTTTAAAACACGATGTTTTTTTAGAATTGATAAAAAACAAAACCCTATGAATGTCCGACGACAAATTATAACCGGGTAACGGAAGTTAGAATTCGAGATTTTGGGGTGTAAAACATTTGAATTACAAATATTTCGTGTTACGAGTAGTTCGTGTTTTACTTTTGTTAATTGGGGTTCCATAAAAAACGAAAAATGATATCAGGGGTTCCGCAATAACAAAAAGGTTGAAGAGCACTGATTTAAAAGCAACGCAAAACTGCGAACTTGAAACGTGTTTAGGATAGGTTATCTCTTTTTGTTGGCTCTGAGATTGTTTCTATTCTAAGCAAGGAGTAATTGGGATATATTTGAGATAATTTGCAAATCGCGATTTGCTAATGCAATCGCTTTAATTCGCTAGAATTTGCACTGGCCCTCACTAACAAACAGAAACGATGAATGTGAGAAATCTTTACCTTGCGATGTTTTTAGTCTTCTATCTGCGTATTCACGCAATGACGAATTTGCGGAGTTTTTAATTTTTTATTGTTATTTAATGCGAAAATACCGCAGACACGGTTGATAGATACAAATATAAAAAAAATCAACTATTAAC